CTGCTGTCAGTCAGCCTGGTGAAGGCAGGTTAGGGACTGATCAGTTAATCTCCTTCTGATTTGAGATTCAGGTGGACAAAGTGTGACTTTGAGACAGTAACAGAAAAGTGACATAAAATACTCCCTCAGATAATAGTTTGTTTCTGCCTTGTTTATTCTTTTACTTCCTTTCAGCACTTGTCATCAAATATAATTCCCAAAGAGACGTGAAGTAAAGTATTTCTAACTGTTTTTGTTTTTTGTTTTTTTAATCCTCTGGCTGTCAGTGAAAACCAAACTGATAATGAAGCTCCATAAACTCTGGTCCTGCAGCAGAGAGCTCTGTGGTGACCTGATCAGGAAAGTCAAATCCAGGAAGTAAACCAAACTAAATGAGACAATAAAAAATCATGTTGCTGTCTCTACTCTGTCGCCATGTAGCATTTCTAATGATCTTACAGCAAGTGAACGAAAACAACCAATCAGAGCCAAGAAGTCTGTAACGCAGCTGTCAATCATGTCGATCTCTGCTCATGAACCGTGGTCAAACTGTCACACAAGGTATTGCTGACCAAATATGAATCAAGGTTCTGTCACCGTGTTTCCTGTTTCTTAGTGACTGTTTAACTGTAACATGAGAAAGTTTGTGACCTGGCTGCCATGTTCATCATCATCCTCACTGTGACCTCGTCACATGTCCACGTTTGGTCATGGACTTTCCACGTCCACATATGACGTCCAAGGTACCCTGGGTGTGTTGGTTGTTGACGTTCTGGGACGCCGTCTCAACTTCAGCCTGTTACATGCATTGTCTGTTTTCAAAATACACTTCTGTTTTCACAGGAAATGTACAGTTTGCATACAGTCTCTTTCAAAATAAAAGCACCTCCAACTGATGTTTTTTCCCTTCAACAACACACACGTGGTTGGGTTTAGGAAAACAGAGCAAGGTTTGGCTTTACAATCTTACAGGAAGTGAACACCGGCCTCCTGTAAGATTGTAAAGCCAAACCTTGTTCTGTTTTCAGAAGGTTAACACAGTAAAATAAAAAAAAGGAGAAATGAAAGTTTCCATGTAACACAGACTGCTCTGACCACAGGACTGACGGGACATGGAGACACTAATATTGATATCAATAAGACTGGATCATCAGACTGGACTATCTGTCATATCCGGCTGATAACTTGATCGCTCTATATAAGGCTCTCCCGGCAGAGTAAATGTAGGGCAGCGTCCTCATTAATAAACTGAAACAAAGAATGAGCGTGCTACCTTTTCCATCTTAACACGCCGTCCGCTTCCTTCGCAGCCAGTGGCCGTGTTTATTCTCTGGAAATAAATGTGTTGTCATTACATTCCTGCTGCCCGCAGACATGGAAAGAGTCTGCCTGCAGCCACTATGTGAGGCATGTGAACCTGAAGTCACAGTCACATGACCGTGTGGAGGCGGAGTTACCGCAGGACCAGTAATTAATGAATGTCTGTTTAGTACTATCATCCAGCCTGACTCCAGAATGACTCCAAGCACGACCGCTGGGTGCTGATCCTCCATACGTCTAACGTGCTGGTGTCAGACAACATGAGTGAGTGATGACTGAGTTTGTTCAAGAATAAAGAGTTTTGTTTGTCTGTTTTTATCCAAAATTGTCAAATCCCGCCGCTTTGTCAGTGATTTCTGCCGCCCAGCTGACACGCCGTCCTGGAGCATCAACAACAAACGCTGGACGATACCTAGTGCGTCATGGTGAATGGTTTATGGACCTGCACTTGTATTCCAGTCATCTGACCGCTTTTTACACTACGAGTCACACACACACACACACACACACACACACACACTGGTGGCCGAGGCTACCATACAAGGTGCCACCTGTGACACATTCACACACTGATGGAAGCATCATCGGGAGCAATTTGGTTCAGTATCTTGCTCGAGGATACTTCGACATGCAGACTGGAGGAGCTGGGGATTGTACTGCTGATCTTCCGAATGGTGGACAACCCGCTCTACCTCTGAGCCACAACCGCCCCATATAGACGTGAACAGCACTGACCATGTGGTGTTACCATGATGAGTTGTTAAAAACTGGCACTTGATCACTGACTTCCGGTGTAGTACTTTTATTTTGAAAGAGACTGTATGCAAACTGTACATTTCCTGTGAAAACAGAAGTGTATTTTGAAAACAGACAATGCATGTAACAGGCTGAAGTTGACACGGCGTCCCAGAGTGTCAACAACCAACACACCCAGGGTACCTTGGACGTCATATGTGGACGTGGAAAGTCCATGACCAAACGTGGACATGTGACGAGGTCACAGTGAGGATGATAATGAGGATGGTATTAGCTCCAAAAAAGGCGTCTTATTGGGGGTGATACAAAAACACTGACTTACACTATAAATTTGCACCATGTTCTCATCCTGTTGGTAAAACACTTTGATTTTAGGTGGACTTCGTCGGGGTTAGGCAACACGACTCTGAGATCAGGTTCAGAAAAAACATCATGGTTTGGCATAAAGGAAACGAACAGCGGGCTCCCGGCTGGAAGTCAACACAGTGCTTTTGTTGCCTAAACTGAAGGAAACAAACCTTAAAACAAAGTGTTCACTCACATCATGAGTTTAATTTGAAACAGTCTGAGCATGTGACGAGCAGAAACTCAACATTTCCTGTGAAAATGTGTTTTTAAAAATCCATGAGGTGTGTCACAGGTGTAAACTGACACGCCGTCCCTGAACGTCCAAAACTGACGCAGGAGGGAACCCAGAGTGTTCTGACGTGTAGGCAGTGTTGGGCTCCTTACTTTAAACTGTAATATATTACTCATTACTCTTTTCAAAAGTAACAACATTACTTTACTTATTCCTCTCTGCCAACAGTAATTCATTACTCTATTCGTTATATGACCTACTCCCCAAAATCCAGGTGTGTCTCCGTGTGAATGTCAGCGTGATCACCGGTAAGTGTAGCTGAGCTTAAGTAGCTTCTATTTACCTGGAGGTCGTCAGTTACCTGTGAGCGGTGTTTTCCCAAAGATCTGTCTGACAGAATTTAAATCTAATCTTTAATCAGAATTTTGAATCTTTTAATCAAATACATAATAAAGAGAGCTCTTTGAGACTATTATGAAAACGTATCTCTGATATTCACAGGACATAATCGACTCAAAACTCATTCAAATTGCTCATTTCACACAAACGTCCTGCAGTTATTGTGTTCTTCTTTATTTGGTGTGATGGGTCACTTTATCAGCTGTTCTGTACTGTTGTTATGCTGAATATAATACGAAATATCTATAGAATATGTCAGTGTATCTGATGGTGAGGAACCACTGCATGTGATGCATTAGTACATCAGATCGTAGTTCATGGTTTTGTAAAAACAAAACTGCATGTCATAAAGAATATTTTCAGTGCTAACATGTAGCAGGAGTAATGTTTAACATGATTCCACTGACACTAAACAGGCACAGATATTTGTCCTGATGATGGCGCCGCATGAAGAATCATTTCAGTTGGTAGGATTCATTCTCTCTGTTCAACAGCTGAGATATTTCAGCTTAGACGCCGCCACTGCTGCAGCTAAAACTCTTTCAATCCATATCCACCTGCAGGTTATATCAGACTGACGGGCCACATCTGGCCCAGGAATTCAGTTATCCAGTCATTACCCGAAAACAACCTCATCTAAATATGATTGTATGATGTTCATGCATTTTTTATGTTTCTCATATTTAAAACTTACGTCTCCTCATGTTGGACAAACAGTGTGTGGACCATGAAACAAGATGTTTTCTCTTGGTCGGGGTGCTCTCGACACCTCCTAAAATCTTACCTTCAGAAAACATTAGTGAAACCCAAAACTCAACGTGTACCAACAAAATAAGGACAAATCACTGATTGGAACAACAACAAGAGAAAATTTGTTCGTATATCGCAGGACGCTCAGTGTTTGGTACACTCTGTCAAAATAACTGACATTTTGACTTTTTGACAGGTTTTGCAGCCCAGCTTCCAGAGAAAATGTCAGCATTGTATTGCGTTCCAGGCAAGTTTCTGAGCCCGTAAGTCACCACTTCAAGTCACGACTCACGACTTCATAGCGTTCCAGGCAAGTCACGCCAAACTCTCAAAGCAACATGGCGGACCGTGCGGGGTTTATGTTTGTTTATGGTCACTATTGTCACCAAAGGTGCCTGTTCCTTGCTCATTTGAGTGAAACGGAGGATAAACGGCGCATAAGGTCACAGATGCTATTTTACTTTTTATTTTATCTGTGACTTTGGAAACATATTTTGTATTAATTTATTCTTGCACCGGAAACCAGCTGTTAGAGCGGCTGCCAATAGTGCGTTAACATTAGGGTTATTTTATGTCTGTTTCTCACCGTGTATCACCTGCATCAACACCGCATCCATGGGGCTGCCATTGTTGTTTAGAGGAGTAAGGTCATTGGTTTAGAGTTTAGAGGGCTGTGTGACGTCAGAAAGCGTAACTGGGAGTACATCAATCTGGTACGAGTTCACGGGTGGTAAGTTACAGGTTTGACTGCCGTTCCAGTGCACTGTCACGGGTAGAAAGTTGTAAAAACACAACTTACAGGTTGCCTGGAACGCAGCATTAGTTCCTGCAAACTGTGGGTACGTTACATTTGTACGTTATTTTGCAGCTGATACATTGAAACTTTACGTTTCGACAACCTTGTGGTTACGTTTAGGTGCAAAAAAAGATGTTTGGCCTAAAATACCCAGTTTAGGGGGCCATAATTCAGAGAAGACATTCAGCAACGCCTCGGTAAAAATCACTAGTAACTATTAACGATGATATGAAACATGAAAAGTGCAAATATAAAATATTTGTAGTTTTCAGAAATGTACAATGCAAATGTTTTCCTCTGGTGACTGGGCTGGATTTTGACCTCACTCTAATACCCAGAATGCCTTGCAGAGAAACCAGTGAACTGTGCACTGCTCCCATGACTCTTCATCATCACTCAGCACTGGAGGTTTGTACTTACAAGATCTCATCATTCTCAAACTCCAGGACTCCGTGTGTGTCCTCAAAGTCCTCGCCGCCTCCTTTAGCCGTCCCCTCCATGGTTTTGTACGGCACCACCACGACACCGCGAGCCCCCGAGGTCCGGATCACCTTCACCTCCATCACCCCGACACTCTCGCTCACCGTCACCACCGGTTCCTCGAACGTAAAGATCCCGGCGTGGTCGTCATCAAAGATTGTGACGGTAGCCGTGCACGGCAGACCCAAACTTGCGAGGCAGTCCACATGGTTTGCCTCACACTCGTCTAAGCCGGCGCCCTCAGATGTGACCCTCACATTGCTGAGGTGAACCAGGAAATGCTCGTCTTCCTCAAAGATGTCATCATCAATTATGTCAATGCGGATTTCCTTTTCAGTCTCGCCTGGTTTGAACACAATAGTTCCTTGGGTGAACTGGTAATCAGAGCCGGCGTTAGCGGTCCCGTCTTCAGTCCGGTAATCCACTGAGACTGTACTCGTCAGGTCTCCACCACGCCGCACCACGTTGAGTGCTACGCTGCCGCAGTTCTCCAGACACTGGTAGGTACCGGGGTCGAAGAACAGCTTGGAGGAGAAGTCGTTGAGTGAAACCTCGGAGCAGATATCGTGCTGGTTGGCTCTCTTGGCTTGGTCAGCGGCGTGCTTCTTCAGGATGTTGCCCGCTCCTGTCATGATCCTGGTCGCCTGACAGCGGTAGAAAGCCCGGCTCTTCTGCTGCTGGGTTAAAACTTGGTAATTGGCGAGCTCCATCAACTGCTCCATCTCCTTCTCAGGATGTTTCTGTTTAAGCTCCTTCAGGATCCTGGCCACCTCCCTGCGGGCCTCCTCCTCATCCAGCTCATTCAAATCAAACTCCTCTCCATGGGAGTTGAGCATTTTCCCATCCATTTCGATGTCGACCTTTGAGGGGAGCTCCGGCTCGCCCTCTGTTTCAATGATCATTCCTTTCTGCTTCCCCGCTCTGTAGCGCTTGTACATGTACTTGTAGAAAAGAAGTCTGCGGTCGGCCACGTAAGCGAGTCCAACACAAAGGGGGAAGAAGAAGAGCGTGAGCAGCCCCTCCCATATCTCAACTACACCTGGAGAAATGACGGCCAGGATCAGGTAGAGCCAGGTGTACGCAAAGACGCTCCAGGTGGCGGTGACGAAGAACACCCTGAGGTGCTTCACCTTCCTGGTCTCTCCGTCAGGAATGACAGACACACACAGGCCAATGATGACAAACATGTTGAAGGCAGCACTTCCTACAATGGTGTTGGGACCCAGCTCGCCGGCGTCAAAGTTGTGACCGCAAACCTCCACGACTGACAGGAGGATTTCTGGGGCGGAGGAACCCAGCGCCATCAGGGTCAGGTTGGACACCGTCTCATTCCAGATGCGCACTGTCGTGGTGATCTTCTCACCGTTTGGTTTCTTGATGGTGATCTGTCTCTCCTGGGAGGTGATGACCTCGATGGACGCCATGAAGCGGTCAGCGATGATTGACACGCCCAAGAACATGTACGCCAACCCTACAAAGTAAATAGTGGCTCTGGCGAGGCGGTCGGTGAAGGCCGGGTTTTCTGGCTTCCATATCGGCAGGATGACACCTTCGATGCAGTTGGTACCTCCTCCACATTTTGTGTGGTTACTGAGCGTGTTGTTGGATGTGACGGTCGAGCTTCCTGCAGCACAGTACGGGACTTCAATTGAGATGATGGTCGACAAGAAAAGCAGCTGATAGGTGGAGAGCAGCGACGAGGTCCCGGCTCGGCTCATGGTGACGCTCGAGCTCCCGTAAACCTGCAGGACAAAGAAGGAGACTTTGAATTTCTGTCCGATCACGTTTGTAGCTCGGCTCAAAAGGAGGAAATAAAGATGTTCAGAGTCCCGCCCCCTTATCCTCGCTTCTCTACTTAAATCACAGAGTAACAACTGTAAGGGACCGGGGGACAATTATTTTTAATTATTCTTTTTTTTGACTTAATTATCTGTAACCCACAGAAGAGGATCTACAGATGTGTACCGTGATCCACAAACACATCTTTTTACGTGTGTTGTGTAAAGTCATATCCACATAACTTCCTCTGTAAACACAAACTTTAATTTCACATAAAAATGTTTGAGGTTTTACAAATGTAAACACTTTGATGACAGCAGACACACATGAAGTCATATTTACGTATTTGTGGATCCATTTTTACACAAGAAACTAGTGTTGCGCATTTGTGGACTGCTTCCTGTGAGTTCGTGGGTCATGTGACATTTGTGACTTCCCTCCTGTGTATTTGCATAATTTAGTCTGCAGCAGATCTGTGACAAAAAACAAAAAAAAATCAGTTTGAGGTGAAGTTTCTCGCCACATCAGCAGGTGGCGACATTCTCTCACGTGAGATAACTGGACCAAGTAGGATAAAACAACGAGCCTGTCGCGCATCACATCCTGAACAACACCTGGACGTGAGGACAGACATGAGGACAGACGTGAGGACAGACGTGAGGACAGACGTGAGGACAGACATCTGACGCTGCTAGTAGAACATGGGGAATTTATGCCTCTAAGTATGAGCACATATTTATTTTTTGTCAAGGATGTGAAATAAAAATGGATCATTTGTAAGAATAATATTATCAAGATTGCAATGCTAACTTTCAGTACCGCTTTAATGGAAATTCCCATTATGTGTTAGCATCGTGCTAACAGACTAATGTGACACAGGGTTGCAGTGGTGGAGGAAGAACTCAGATCTTTTACTCAGGTGAAAGCACAACAGAAACAAAAAGTAAAAGCAGAACAGTCCACTTCACATCAAATCAAACTACTGGTGCATTCATGTGTTCATCACTTTAACGTAAAGGCTGATAAATGTGGAGCTTTTTTTGCAGGCAGCCAAAAAAAAAATATATATATATAAGTGGGTCATGTGACAAATGTCACAAATGTGCAAAACCAGCTTCACGTGTAAAAATGGATCCACAGATGTATAAACATGACGTCACGTGTATCTGCTGTGGTCAAACTGTTTCCATTTGTAAAACCTGTAACACTGTTATGTGAAATTTATTTATTATTCATTTATTTATTTAATGTTTATTTGTACAGCACACATAAATGCCACACACCACGGCATTTATAGCCTGAGCTAATTTGCAATGCCCGCACCTCGCTGGGCCTTAAGATCCAAAAGGCTCAGCAACAAGAACACAAGTGACAGTGCGAAGAACAAACAGTAAAAATACAAGACATAAACTGCAAGACATAATTTGAGTTTAAAGTGATGCAAGTCAGGATCCAGTTTGAGTTCTGTGGGTAAAGACAGAAAAAGCTGTTTGTCCAAATGATAAATGTAAAGTTTGTGTTTACAGAGGAAGTTTGACGCATTTGTAATTCATGTGGATGTGACTTAACACGACACACATGTAACAAGACTTGTTTGTGGATCACGGTAGATCCTCTTCTGTGGGTTACACATAATTAACTCTGTGTACAAATGTAGTTACTGGAGCCAAAGAGACGAGCAAACGGCACAAAACTAACAGCTGATTTCTGCAGATCTTCCTCACAGATCACATCATCATCATCACACAAGCCGTGCACGTCAGCAGAAAACATGACAGCCGGCCTCAGCGTGTCAGGTAGTCTCAATGTGCACATATCGTCTCATCACATGATCCAACAGAGACGCAACACTGGACAACATCAACATATATATGCATCTGTGTGTGACACACAACACCAAAGGAAACAAGAAGTCATTCAGTTAATTTAACCCTTTTATAGTTTGTGTAGATTAAGCTTTTAATTTTGTTACAGATGCGTCTGACCATTAAAAAACATATGATACAGAAGGTTTCTTGTTTTCAGTGGCAGATACAGCAAATGGCACCTTTTTGAATTTAACGAGAGTTCTTCTTCTTGAACACAGAAACATTTCTAAGGCAGCAGTCGCTCGTAGGGGCCCATTGTCCCCCAACACACTGTGGGCCCCCCCAACTCACAGGCCCCAGTGCAACCGCACCACCTGCACCGTCTATATTTACGCCCCTGGCCGCCTGTGACAACATCAAACCAACAAAATGTCATATCGGCCTAAACAATGGACAGAATGAAATCAGTAACCACACACAGCGGACGTTATTAGATATTAAAAAACGTATCTTTTGGTGTTTGAGAGTTTCAGGTTCAAGGTTGAAACCCTGGAGTTGATTTTTTTTTTATTTTTCACGCCCGCAGATATTTATTTTATTTATTTATTTTTACAGGATCTGTTTTATTTTCGTTGAAGATTTAAAATGAGCTCAAACAAAGTGACTCTGATGAAATGTCACTGTTTTTAAGCTTTGGTTATGTTTCCTGATGGAAACACTGCGACACATACGGGCGCCTTCCTGATCACTGATCGAGTGACGCTATGTGACAACTTGAGAACCAGCTGTTAAAGTTTCTGCATGTCTGCACATTACAAAACAAACAAAACGTGTGAACTGCATGTAACACATTCAGGAGACGGAGCTGCCCCTCAGTAATGCTGAACATGAAGCATGTGTAACATTTTAAAGACAGTATTACAGCTCACACGTGTGTGTATTTTCTATAACTGATGCCCTAATATTTTCCTCTGCTGCTCTCCAGTGAGATCTGTAGAGTCATTCAGATTTAAGGGTTTCGTAAACAGAGGAGCTAAGTCTTGTTGGATGTGTCACATAAGATCGTACGAGGAAGATACATTTGGAGCATTTTGGTTTTAATGTCTTATTTGTAGAAAGCAGAAAAGATTGGACTGCTATAAAAAATATTTAAACCTTCATAGTTTGAGTTTTCCTTTTTATAAACAACGATCATTAACCTGAATTTACTTTAAATTATTAAAATATATGATCATGACATGATATTCTTCATTTAAGTAACCGTTTTAAATAACTTAAACTCATACAGTTTTAAGGAGACATTAAAGACACATTAAATGCACTGGCTGCTGTATCACTGCACAGCATGTCCGACCTGCTCTGATGCAGCAGGACACCTCACAGTAACACAGACTGGATCTAAAGAGAGTATCCTGCAGCACATCACCACACACTGTTCTGTACAGAGAATCAGAAACCTACCGTCGCTCCAGCACTTTCAGTATCTGACAGAAGAAAAAACAAACGCAGGACGTTGTCTCAAAATGTCCACAAAACCCTGAGGACAGTTTTCATGGTGGAGACAGAGACAGTGTGAATAAAGCGTCCACTGCGTCCTCCTGCTGTGAAACAATAAAAGCCTGTCAGATGATGTGGAGACGAGAAGCAGGAACACAGTCGGATCATAACACTGTCACCATGAAACCACCACACTGCTGCCTGCCATGATCCTCCTCCTCCTCCTCCTCCTCCTCCTCCTCCTCCTCCTCTCTGTATCTCTCTCTCTGTCAACACTTTCAAACCACCATCTGAATCCTCTTTGGAGTTAATTTTATCTTTCACTCCAAGCTACGTAGTAACTCTACATGTGGAGCTCAGCTCTTCGGCCTCACAGTTCAACTCTCTGACAGTAAAGACAGTCGGAGCCGATACTGTAAAGGAGAGATTGTCTCAGACACAGAGAGACAGCCTTTAACTGATAGCGTAAAGCGCCTATCCAAGGCATACCCACAGTAAACTTGTTCCATTTTTAGCACATGTACATGCATGGTCTCATCTGGGAGGAAAGCGTTGTGTCCAACAGTCAGAATCACTGAGAGCACTTCTGTCACTGACTTTAAACATTTCAACACACTGAAATTAAATATCTCCTTTACAAAGATGCTGCAGACGAGCAGGTCAGCACTGTCAATGCCAAAACGTTTAGTTTAGTCCAACACAGTGAGAGAAAAGTAACACTAAATAAATGTGTCACATGTCTGACAGGAACTCTGTGTCAGGTGAACTGTTTTGTTGTTGGAGTGTTTCATTCTGTGTCATAGGTAGATCAGGAGCCAGAGCCTTCAGCTATCAGGCTCCTCTCCTGTGGAATCATCTTCCTGTTGCGGTCCGGGAGGCAGACACCGTCTCCACATTTAAGACTAGACTTAAAGTGCAACTTGCAGGTTAAATGTTTTTAAAAATATATACATAATCTTGTCTGAAAATTACCATATGAGAAGTTAATTCAGAATTTATTACAGTTTACACGACATAAGGGCACACATTCAGAGGAAAAAGTGGCTCTTTTTAGCGCCCTTGACCCTGCCTCTGTCCAATGCGCAGTAGCAGGTGGTAGTGAGTCTGAGCGGTAGTAAACTTGTGAGTTAGTATTTTTTTTTTCGGTTGTTAACAGTGCATTTCACCATTTGTGATTATACTGAATTATTGTGTTTGTGCAGGTTGCACAAACTCGAGTCTGTCAGGACATCGAGTCCACCGTTTTCTGGACAGAAAACGGAGTGGAGTTAGTTTTCATGCCTGGGTGCGTTTTGTGCAGGTGAAGAGGGGCAATTTCACGGCTTCATCTGTGACCAAAAAGGCGGTCGTGTGCAGCGCTCATTTTGGACAGGAGGATTATGTTCCTGGCGGATCCTGCCCGCGCACCGTCGCACATACCCTTGAGGCTCGGGTCTCCCTCTCTGCGGAGAGGGGTATGTGTGGGACCCGAGGCTCGCGGCCCCGCACGGGGGTATGTACGGGGCCGCTCTCGTCTCCCTCTTCGAGCCTCGGGGGTATGTGCGAGGGCGGGTGGGCTCCGCGGAGAGGGAGGCTCCGCTACTTCACTTCCGGTTAGTGGGTTTTTAGATGCGGAAGCAAAATTCTCTCACAAAAACAACCCCAAAAGTCACTGTAGTGTGTATATGTTTTTGTTTTTTGTTTTAATCGAGTTTCTACATCATTTTCCTACACATTTATTCACCATGGTCTCCAACCTGCAAGTTGGGCTTTAAGACTTTCCTTGTTGATAAAGCTTATAGTTAGGGCTGGCTCAGGCTTGCCCTGTACCAGCCCCTAGTTAGGCTGACTTAGGCCTAGTCTGCCAGAGGACCCCCCTATAATACACCGGGCACCTTCTCTCCTTCTCTCTCTCTCTCTCTCTCTCTCTCTCTCTCTGTCTCATTGTGTCATACGGATTACTGTTAATTTATCATGTTGATCTGTTCTGTACGACATCTATTGCACGTCTGTCCGTCCTGGAAGAGGGATCCCTCCTCAGTTGCTCTTCCTGAGCTTTCTACCGTTTTTTTTTTCCCCGTTAAAGGGTTTTTTGGGGAGTTTTTCCTGATCAGCTGTGAGGGTCATAAGGACAGAGGGATGTCGTATGATGTAAAGCCCTGTGAGGCAAAGTGTGATTTGTGATATGGGTTTTATAAATAAAATTGACTGATTGATATGAACATAAAAACAACAAGCACATCAAGTTCTTTAAATGTCATTGAACTATAGAAATATAAAGTGTTGAGCTGAGGTTTGATAGCTACAGTGCTTCTCCAGCAGTGTGCTGTGGGATTTTGTGATAACCACACATTATTATTGCAATATTCAACTGCGCCCATACATACAGTTATGAATGAATGTTTGATGATAATTTCAGTATGTTGCTGCTCCCATTTCCTGATTAAGAGGCAAACTACAGCTAAAAAATGTTATTCAATGTCATTTAATGTAAAAAACCTTCACAGTGAACCTGTCTGTCACTGTTTGAGCGTGAGAATGATCAGTTTAGTTTATTTGGTTCCTAAAAGGACAGCGTGCAATGACACTAATCATTTACATGAAATGAAGTGTGACTACATCACTACAGTGTTATTACATCACTACAGTGTGACTACATCACTACAGTGTTATTAAATCCCCACCACATCAGAGCATCCCCACAGAAGCACAGCATCATCCTCTCCTCCACAGCTGGGTGGAAATCTGCTCCTTCTGAACAAACTCAGCAGATTTTGCTCCTTTTTGTCCCTCCTTTGAGCCAGTACTCACCTCTGGTCCTGACGCAGCAGCAGCAGGAGAAGAGAGTGCGTTCAGGAGGGAGAGCTGCGTCCGATAACTACTCTAAATTTAACAGAAACAGACATTGTTCTAAACATGGCTGCATAGCTGCCTGTGAGCTGCTTATCGTCCCTCTCCCAGTGGGCCATGGCCATACAAGGCTCTGCGGGGCCCGGGGCCATCCAGCAGCTCCTCGTCCCCGCCGACACGTGGGGGAGATAACGGCTAACAGCTAACGGCAGCCTGGTGACACCGATGGGCCACAACAGGCAGGAATGTTGGGATAAGTGCCCCCTCCTCCTCCTCCTCCTCCTCCTCCTCCTCCCACATGACAACCTTCACAGCAGTGATTTTCCACCCAGAGAAGGTGACACGTTCAGAGAGCTGCAGACATCACAGGTTCCTGAGGAGGAACGACAGGAAGTCTGTAACACACCGAAATATCAACTCCTATCAGCTGGCCATCAGCGTTCAGATGTACAAACACCTGCACACAGCTCTCACACCTCATGACCACAGAGCGCCGTGCACACAGTTTACTACAGACGTCTGCAGGTGACTCAGTGAGGAGGTTAAAGCTGAGATATGTTCCTGTAAACTAACACAGTGTGTGTAGGTTGTTCTATTGTCTTCACACTGCTGCACAACTGAACTCAGGTGTATTGTAGGTGGTGTATTAAAGGAGGTGTATTATAGGAGGCGTATTATAGGTGGTGTATTATAGGAGGCGTATTATTGGAGGTGTATTATAGGAGGCGTATTATAGGAGGCGTATTATTGGAGGTGTATTATAGGAGGTGTTTTATAGAGGATGTATTATAGGAGGCGTATTATTGGAGGTGTATTATAGGAGGCGTATTATAGGAGGCGTATTATTGGAGGTGTATTATAGGAGGTGTTTTATAGAGGATGTATTATAGGAGGCGTATTATTGGAGGTGTATTATAGGAGGCGTATTATAGGAGGCGTATTATTGGAGGTGTATTATAGAGGGTGTATTATAGGAGGATGTATTATAGGAGGCGTATTATAGGAGGTGTATTATAGGAGGCGTATTATTGGAGGTGTATTATAGGAGGCGTATTATAGGAGGCGTATTATTGGAGGTGTATTATAGAGGGTGTATTATAGGAGGCGTATTATAGGAGGTGTATTATAGGAGGCGTATTATTGGAGGTGTATTATAGGAGGCGTATTATAGGAGGCGTATTATTGGAGGTGTATTATAGAGGGTGTATTATAGGAGGTGTATTATAGGAGGTGTATTATAGGAGGCGTATTATTGGAGGTGTATTATAGGAGGCGTATTATAGGAGGCGTATTATTGGAGGTGTATTATAGAGGGTGTATTATAGGAGGCGTATTATAGGAGGATGTATTATAGGAGGCGTATTATAGGAGGTGTATTATAGGAGGCGTATTATTGGAGGTGTATTATAGGAGGCGTATTATTGGAGGTGTATTATAGGAGGTGTTTTATAGAGGGTGTATTATAGGAGGCGTATTATAGGTGGTGTATTATAGGAGGCGTATTATAGGAGGTGTTTTATAGGAGGTGTTTTATAGAGGATGTATTATAGGAGGTGTTTTATAGAGGGTGTATTATAGGAGGCATATTATAGGTGGTGTATTATAGGAGGCGTATTATTGGAGGTGTATTATAGGAGGCGTATTATAGGAGGCGTATTATTGGAGGTGTATTATAGGAGGTGTTTTATAGAGGGTGTATTATAGGAGGCGTATTATAGGTGGTGTATTATAGGAGGTGTATTATAGGAGGTGTTTTATAGGAGGTGTTTTATAGAGGATGTATTATAGGAGGTGTTTTATAGAGGGTGTATTATAGGAGGCGTATTATAGGTGGTGTATTATAGGAGGCGTATTATTGGAGGTGTATTATAGGAGGCGTATTATAGGAGGCGTATTATTGGAGGTGTATTATAGGAGGTGTTTTATAGAGGGTGTATTATAGGAGGCGTATTATAGGTGGTGTATTATAGGAGGTGTATTATAGGTGGTGTATTATAGGAGGTGTTTTATAGAGGGTGTATTATAGGAGGCGTATTATAGGTGGTGTATTATAGGAGGTGTATTATAGGAGGTGTATTATAGGAGGTGTTTTATAGAGGGTGTATTATAGGAGGCGTATTATAGGTGGTGTATTATAGGAGGTGTATTATAGGAGGTGTATTATAGGAGGTGTTTTATAGAGGGTGTATTATAGGAGGCGTATTATAGGTGGTGTATTATAGGAGGTGTATTATAGGAGGTGTATTATAGGAGGTGTTTTATAGAGGGTGTATTATAGGAGGCGTATTATAGGTGGTGTATTATTGGAGGTGTATTATAGGTGGTGTATTATAGGAGGTGTTTTATAG